GCGCCAGAGCCCCTTGACGCGGTAAGGTCATTGTTACTTCCTCAAGGGCGCGGCCCGGTATTGGGAAGGCTCCGTTAAAATACAGCCGAATTTACCTCCCGCTGCAAATCGTCCAATGGGCACGGGAGTCGTATGACACCCTGATTAGAGGTGGCAGTTTGGTTGTCGCACGCATGTATTTAGCAACCCGTGTGAGAGGTGCTGTGCTAGACAACACTACTCACCCTGCTGGGAGATGCCGAGAATGCCTTGCGACCTAAGCCCCCGCACCACGGCAGCAAGGTGCCTTGATCCGCAGGAGAAGCCCAGCCCTTACTTGTTCAAAACTCACCTTCCTTCTGCCTTCAATTTGCAAAGAAGTATTTTAAAACTTAAATATTTCATTATTGAGGGAAAATCACGAAATCGTAACAAAACATGCCTATTACCCATAGAACAATATTGTGTGCGGTAATTGGTTAGCGGTATGGAAATATTTTACGGTAGTTAGATTAATTTTGGCTAATAGGCGTAAATTTAGCACATACTTTATGAAATCCTTATATTCGAAAATTAGTTACAATTACGAATATTTCCGTATGTCGTCGTTCTATCAGTTTCTTCACTTCACAAATGAATCAACCAAGCATCAGTAGCTACCAAATAGAATATATAACACCGTATTTTTAAAAAGCGTCGACCTCATCTGAAAGTGGTTTGAAATAATATTTAGCTTGTTAAACTTGATACCAATGAGATGTCGCCTTTCTAGATATTGAGGATCGTGATAATGTTTTTATCTTGTCATCAAAAATTTACACTACTGTAAACGCCCTTGGCCCAATGCTGACTTTACCAGAGAACGTATATCATAGAGAAGGGCCATGGTGTGTCGATTGTCAAAATGTTCCTCTGACGGAGGTTATCGCCAACATTAGTGCATTTCACCACAAACAAATTATAAGCTGATTGACCAGAATTTACTGCGGAGCAACAGCAGACCGAGCATTTTGAATGTTAAATGAGAAAATAAGTTAGTTCGACAGCAGAGGTATGATAGAGCCCAGAGAGGCCAGCAACGACCATATAATTTTATATTCAGCATATATTACATCGTTACAAATAAATTGTATTAAGTTTTATCAATGTACAGACAGCCAGAGCAGAAAATTTGCTTGAGCACATTACCGATAGCTACGAGCAGGCATTGACTAGAAGAGCTGGCGATTGACAGCCACATGCCGGACGCTCAGTTAGATGTTGCTTGACTTACTTCTGCTGACAGCACCATAAGCGAGTTCAAATATGAAAAAGGCCTCATTACACTTAATTATATAACGGCGCGTAACAGGTACGAGTTACTGAATATACATTTACAAATACAAGAGGGTAAGTGCAAAATCAACTTTATTCATATAACAGCATGCGTAATGGAACAAAGTCGGGTTGAATGTGGGAAATGTACTGTATATTAGATACGCACATTTTGACAAATACAGTCAAACTATTGGTGTCAAATCAGTTGTTTGCTTTGTAGGTCATAGTTATTGTGGTATTCTATATATCTCCAATTAAAGAAATAATTTCTATGTATTTAAAATACCGTTTTCTTTAAAAATTAAGAAAACGAGATGCAACAAATATCATATATAAGAGGATTGGAGGAGATACTTAACCGGGTTTACTGGTTATATCAGACATAATGTTTTTAAAGCTTGAATTAAATTTATCAATAGTTATGTTAAACATTTTTGTTTAAATATTAATACTTATTTAGGGTTATCATTTTCCTAGAGGGAATACAACAGCCTCTATTTATGATTTTTGTTATCGTCGTGAAATGTTGTAGATCAAAGTGTTCGGGGAGATAGGTTACAGAAATTGCTGCCTGCACCATGATGAATAAAGAATAGTACTTACTAGGAATAAGCTGTTTGGTCGATATTATGATTAGATGATTGTTTTTGTAAATAATGTGTTTAAGACATATTACATGCAGCATACAGCGTATGTATAAATAGTTTGTATGCATTAGTTGTTCGGCATTTTATATACATATGTTGCGTATTATATAATGCGCGAAGACAGCGATATTTATAGTTTCAGATTACTTTCGAATCCGCACATTAAATAAAGCCAGGAGATATGATTATATATAATGCCAATATATGGGTCAGATATGGTTTCATAATATTAAGAGTTGTAATAAATCAATCTTATTAGAGTATTATGTTAAAACTGGCAAAATTTGGAATTAAATTGATTATATATAATATTTTTGCATTGTTTCAGATTTAATTAATAATTAGAGTTCATTAAAGTTTGTAAAGAGATTATGCACCGCAACATATGAAGGCTGATGATTGTATTATAACGCATAAGAATATGTCAAAGAATAGTGGCTGTAATATTAAATTGTTTGAAAGATATTGAATGTCATAAACACCACTTTTCCGACAGAAATTAATTGGTACCTGTTGTTTTAATACAATGTTGGTCCGCAGCTATCTTCTGCGACATACGCCCCCGGTTCCTCGCGCCAGCAAAGTCAGGAGAACGCATAATATAGAGAAGCGTCCAATTGCGACCAGCGTGAATTCGTCAAACCCAAATAAGATTTTATTAGTGAATACACCTCATCTGGCTCGGAAGATAAATTTTAACAGAAGTGAGTGAACAGAGCTGAGCATTCAATGAAAATTATGCCTAGAGACTTGATTTAATTATTACAGCTAATGTTACTCTTGGCTTATATTTTATGTCGTTTATATGCAATCATATTTATTCATATGAATACTATTTTGCGAATTTTATGAATGCTTGCAAAACTGATAAGACTCTACTAATTAATTAAATTCAAGTAATTTTAAAAATATTATATATAATCAATTTGGGAATTTAATGATTTTATTGGTTTAAGATAATATACCTCAATAGAGCATTAAATTTATTACAACATATGTATAAGGTTATTATCTGTTATCATATTAATATTATATATATAATCATATGTATATTCACACAAGCGCATTTGAATGTGCGATTCAGAAATTGAAATCACAATTTTATCATATATCAACACAACATGTGCGCGCATTGATTTATATGTACACGCTTATGTATGTAGTATTACAAACTGCCGAAACGAAATAATGCATACAGAAACAAACACATATATTACGCATATGCGTACACATGTAACACGGCGTCACCCGCAAACTACAAACATTGTTTTACGCACAATCACAAGTCAATATGTCAGCCAAATAGGCGCGAAGCTCAAATTTATAGTAAATTGCACAACAACAACATTTTCATATTCATGAACGCAGGCGTAGTTTTAATAAGCAACCTCGTTTATCTTCAAAAGAGATACCCCTCACATCTCTCACATGTTTTTGTTTACAAGCGTCTTTCACGACGATAAAGCTAAAAATCATAAATATCAAATTTCTGACATCCTGAAGGGAAAGGACAACCCCAAATATGAGTATTAAATATTTTAGAATAAAGTGACAACATAGTATATTTGTCGATTTACAATTCACAAACTTTAAAGAAAACATCATTATTCCTCTGATTTATGTATACAAGCCCCGGTTAAGTATCACCTCCAATCCTCTTTATCTACCAGTCATGCTGCCAAATCTCGTGTTTTTAATTTTTAAGGAAAACGGTTATATTTTTATAAATACATAGATTTTATTTTTGCACCACTTGGTACCACACCGCTTATACCACAAAGTCAAAATCTGTACCTTTTGGTTTTGGCACTTAACCGGGATTGACTGGCTTGTCAAAGAATGTGCGTATGTAAATAATATTCGAATTCAGGTACACATCTTATCCGTATATGCACATGATTTGTTGACTTTGTTTCATTTACGCATAATGTTGTATATGAATAAGGGGCGATTTGCACTCTGCCATATGAGATGTATGTTTGTAAGAGGTGGTATGGTTCTGGTGTATCCCATGAAACAATGATGGCATATTTACATACATGGCTGCTGCATATAGACAAATTAACAATTATAATGGGTATTTTCATATTACTTCGTTATCTTTCATTGGGTTATGCCTGCCAAGATACAAATTCAAACCCAGATATCTGACTGAACTGAAGCAGTCCATTGATAGATATTTGCGCAATCCGACGAACCCTCCAGCCCGCATTAATTTTCTAATTAGGTGTCGCATATAATGTAGCTGAGCATGGAGGAATTATTAATTGTATAAATAAATAAGATTTTCTATACAATACAAAACTTAATGTAATGCATTGATTAAAAGAAACTATTACGGTTTATTTTGTGGTACGATCTGTGGAGCCGCCCTGTATATGCATATCTAAAATTATATGTACCTTGCTTGCGCATTGTAAATATACGAATTGTATCGTACACTTAACATTGAAGCATGTAACTGAACGAAGGCTAACAATGGTGGACATTTCCGTTCCCCCTTTAACAGAATAGACCCGGATGCTCACCCTGTTGAGCCAAGGGTCGTAAGAACCAGAATGAGCGACAACAACAACAAACCAACACAAAAAACCCAAAACAATGGAGCAAAAACGACGACGACACCAGCAACCACCAAATCGACAACGACAACAACATCAAACTGCAAAGCGACCGTTGCAGGTAAGAGTGGCCCAGGAGCTGGGCGCAAGTTTAGCTTCCTGGACGCTCTTTCGCCAGAAGAGCGCGCACTGTTTGAGGAGCACGCACGTGATGATGACGACGTGGCCTCTAGCAGCGGTAATCGAAAGGCGGCTACTGCGACGAGTGCAGATAAGGCTGAACCCACAGCAACCTCTTCAAGCAGGCTCAGCTGCTCGGAGGAGGACGAATCCAAAAGGGGTGGGACAGAAGTGCGCAAAAGAAAGAGGAAGCGGGGGGGGAGAATGCCCCCTGAACCAGCAGCGGGATGCCCGGGTGGCCCAGACGATCCACGCAGGAGAGGCATGAGCGGTGCCACCCTAAAATGGTACCTCAGGCACTTGCAAGATGGCAAATCCCCAGAAGAAGCATTTAGACTCGCCACGAGCAGGAGCAGGGGCAGCAACCCTTCTCCGGCTGCGAAGAAGCATGCAAACGCCGCGTCCGTCGCGGGACGCGGGAGCCAGACGTTCAGCCGAGGAAACGCAACCCAGCCTGGGAAACAAGGGAGCGGAAAGGCGGAACCACGGAACACCACAGATCAAACCGCGAAAAGGAAGAGCGGGCAGATAACGCCTCAAGAACCCCCAAGTTCAAAAAGGCAAAAGGGGAATCAACCACCGGCGATCGGAGGACAACGTTCTGCTCCAAATCCCAACCCGAGTGATGGCGGTCAGCGCAAATACTCGGAAGCCCTCAAAGGCATCCGAATGGCTGTGCTGCCTCGCAATTATCCGGCGGAGGTCTTGGGGAACTGACAGCGCTGCAAGATAGCTTCATGGATGAGGTATACAATGGGTGTGGAAACACCGGCTCATTCCATGGTGTGTACTTCAGGTCAGGAATGCTGCTAGTCGACTGTAAAGACGAAAGGACGGCCACCTGGCTTGCGGAGATCGCTCCGAAGGATGGATGGATGGAGAGGCCCAGTCCTATGCGCGAAGAGGGGTGAAGACATACCGCCTATGCACTGCATGACGGTATTCCTTCCCAGGAGCGCAGGCCTGTTTTTTAACAAAGCCAAAAGAACCGGCAACTGGGAGGAATATAGGCAACATCTAACAACCTACAATAAGGAAATTAGGTCTGCAAAAACCAGTAGTTTCAGAAAATTCTGTGAAAATGTCTCCTCTACTCCAGAGGCTGCAAGACTGCATAAGGCTCGCCAGAGGTAAGACTGACACAGCATTAGCCATTAAAGGATCCGATGGGACCTATACGACCAACGCAAACGAAAGGGCAATGGCACTCTTGCTTGAGCACTTCCCGGAGACTATTTGGGACGACCAAATTCCACCAGTGGTCGCACATAAGCCAGATCGCTCAGATTGGACAGCTGCAAAGAATCTATTCAATGCAGACTCAATCAAGTGGGCACTGGCTTCCTTCTCGAAATACAAGTCACCAGGGGCTGACGGCATCTTCCCAGTACTTCTGCAGCAAGGAGGGCAAACTCTATTGCCGTACCTTGTTGGGCTGATGAGGGATAGTTTGCGTTGTTTGCCATCCCATCAACGTGGAGAGATAGGGTAATTTCACCAGCATGAAGCGACTATTCATCAGCCAAATTTTCGTTATTAGGTTCCACCACATGCCAAAGGTAAGGAGATTATACAACCGGTAAGATCGAAAGCATCAAAGTCGCACTCTGCATGCAAATCAGCACGCGTACACAGAGCAATACGTAACTGAACGGGGCATGA